CTCAACCCCTCAATGACCCCCCAAATCCCTCCCCATTCCCTGCCCCCTTTTACCCCCAAATCTCCCCCTCCCCAATCCCCTCCATCCCACCCCCAAATCCCCCAAGTCCCTCCGCCAAGACCCCGACAAGCCCCGCGCCCGCAAGGACGACGACACCCCCGAGGCCTCCAACCCCAAGAAATCCATGAAAAAGGCAAGTTCCCCTCCCCAACGGGGGGTCTCTGTGGCGTGGGGGGGGTCTCTGTGCCCACCCCGTGCCCGCTGACCCCCCCTGGCCCCCCCGGCAGCGCCGCAAGCGGGTTCCCAGCGCCGAGGGACCCCCGAGCTCGTCCCGCCGCTCCCAGTCCCAGGTTTGCCGCCGCCCCCCAGGAGGAGGAGGAGGAGGAAGAGAATCTCCCAAACTCCGGCAGGCGCAGGACGGCCGGGGGGGGGATTTGGGTGGGGCTGCTGGGGGCCCCCCCGGCTCTGAGCCCCCCCAATCTCTATCCCCCCATGGTTTGTAGATGGTGGTGATCGAGCAAAACGGGTCCTTCCAGCTCAAGAACTTCATCTGCGACCACTGTTTCGGGGCCTTTCGGAGCAGTTACCACCTCAAACGGCACATCCTCATCCACACTGGTGGGGGCACCAATTAACACACCCTAATTAACCCCTCACGGCCTTAATTAGCCCTCTACTCCCCCCCATCCCAATTCCCCCCCAGTTAGGTGTTAATTAACCCCCTGAACCCCCCCCAGTTTAGGGGAGAAGCCCTTTGAGTGTGACCTGTGCTCCCTCCCTCCCCGATCCCAGTCACCCCTTAATCCCACAACTCCCCCCCTCCTCCTCCATTCCCACACCCTCTAATTACCCCCAGGGGTGTTAATTACCCCCCCAACTCCCCCTCACTTTAGGGGAGAAGCCCTTTGAGTGCGACGTGTGCGACATGCGCTTCATCCAGAAGTACCACCTCGAGCGGCACAAGCGGGTGCACAGTGGGGAGAAGCCCTACCAGTGCGAGCGCTGCATGCAGGTAATTCCATGGGAAATCCCACCTGGAATTCCCTTGGAAACCCCCAGAAGCGCCCCCACCCCGAATTCCAACCCTAATCCCCTCCATCCCGCAGAGTTTCTCCCGCACGGACCGGCTCCTGCGGCACAAGCGGATGTGCCAGGGCTGCCAGGGCAAGAACCCCCCTGACTCCCAGCTCCTGCTGTGAAATTCTGGGAATTCTGGGGGTGCTGGAGGAAGGGGGAGCCTCCCTCCTGCACCCCCCACTCTCTGCATCCTCTGCTTCACCCGGATTTTTCACCCTGAGCTGAGAACTCCTAAAAAAACCTGGAGCGTTCCCAGTGTGAAAAACTCGGATCTTTCCCAACCTTCTGACCTAAAAACTGGGATAATGAGCCCAAAAATCCTCCTGGAATCTTCAAGCTGTGCCCTCCTCATCGTTGGATCCCTAAATCCACCCCACATTCCCCCATAGGACAGACTGGGACCCCCCAAACTGCCCCAAATCCCAGCAGGTTTGGGGTACCTAGGACACAGGTAGGAGGGTCCCGCTGGGAATGAAATCTCCAAACCTGCTTTTTTGGGGGGAAAAAGGAGGAAAACTGAGGATTTTGGGGGGTGTCTTGGCTTCGGGAGGGTGGCAAATTCCCCCTTTTTATGGAAAGCAGAAAGAAAATGAGGAACTTGGGGGTGTCCCTGTTTTGGGACTCAGCAGCACTTCCCATTCCCTCTGGAATTCCTGTGTATTCCAGGGACGTTTCCCCTGTTTCCATGTGGTTTTGGGGGGGCTCCCTGTGTCTCCCCCTGCACCTGTGGCGGGGGCTGCACCCGGGGGGGGGGGCAAAGGGACCCCCATTTCCCAGAAAACCCCATTCCCAGGGGGAGGAAAATCCTGGAAACCTCCGTTCTCTGGGGTGGGAAAACCATGGATCTGCTGAGGGGGAGTGGTTGGAAAATCCAGGATGCCCCAAAAAACTCTGGGGGTCCCCCCAGTGTTCCCCCCCACATTTTGGGGGTCTCATGCCTCCCCCAATCACAGACTGCTCCAAGGGGGGACAAAGCTGATGAATTTTGCCCCCCCCCCAGTGACACTTCGAAAAAGGCTTTGGCTCTACTGAGCCCCCCCCGCTAAATTTGGGGGTCAGGGAGGGTGGTTTGAGGGCTCCAGGGGGTGGGTTGGGGGAATTCTGGGGGGGTTTTGGGGCCCCCCCAAACCCGGGGGGGTGGTCACACACACCACCCCTCTGCCCTCCCCAGATTCATTTTTGGGGTGTTTTGTTGGGTTTTGGGGGTTTATTACAGTTATTTTGCTATGGGGAGGGGGGGTCGGGGGTCACCCCCGGGGGGAGGGGTCACTTTTAAACGGTAGTTTTTTCTAAGGGTCCCCAAATTTCGTGTCCCCCACCCATGTCCCCAAAATGTCGTCCTTTCCTCCCCCACCCCCCGTGTGCCCTCCCCTTCCTTTAGGGTTTATTTAAATAAAACTTTGGGGTTTTGCTTTTTTTAACCTAAATTTGGTTTCTTCAGGGGCGAGGGAGTGGTATTTGGGGGGACCCCCAGAACCTATTTGTGCCTCCCCCCCCAGACCCCAAAAATGGGAGGGGAATCATTAAACTGGAGGGGGGGTGTCCCCAAACGACCCCCAAATATCCCAGTGGTGCCCCCCCTTTATCCCTGGAGAGGGGTCCCCAAGTGCCCCCCACTTTATCTCTGGAGGAATCCCCAAGTTTGGGGGGCTTCCCAATGCCCCCCCAAAATAACCCAGGAGTGCCCCCACTCCCGCCCCATTGGTGCCCCCCATCACCTTAGGGGGGGTCCCAAGCCTCTCCTCCTCCTAGACCCCCTCTTGCCCCCCCAGATTCACAACCCCTCCAAAAATTTCCATCACTTTATTTTGCAAAAATAGAAAAGTCCCGAGACCTCCCCTCAGCACAGAGGGAGTGGGGGAGGGCTGTAAACATGGCTGGGGGGCCCCCCAAAAGCGGGGGATGGCTAGCGGGGGGGGGGGGGGCCTTAAAACGGGGCGGGGGGCCCCCCAAAAGGGGGGGATGGGCAGGGGGGGGGGGGGGGGCCTTAAAACGGGGCGGGGGGCCCCCCAAAAGGGGGGGATGGGCAGGGGGGGGGGGG